CAGACTATAAGTTGCACTTTTTGGGGGAAATTTATTTTATAAAATCAGGGACTTGGAACTGACATTTTATCTTGAAAGGCAACATATAATAATAAGAAGAGAATAAAGAACAACAGACTGAACAGGCTTTAATCTGTTAACATCACATATGAACAATTATTCAGATAACTAGAGCATAAACAACAGAACATAAGTTTACCAAACTCTCCATCTCACTCCAAATCACTAAATCCATTGAATCCATTGAATTCTTCATCCTTAGTGTCATTTCTGCGCAACTCCACGCAACTTTGGTTGTCACTGAAGTCCAGACATGCTTCTCCCTGCGGTTGTCATGAAGCTGTGTTCTCCGTTCCCACTTTCCTCCAGTCCCTCACAAGTTTCTCGCTCACTCCAAACTTTCTTTCTGCTGCTCGATTACCATTTTCTGTTGCAGATTTCACGACTTGCAGCAGGACAGAGGCTTTTTCTAGAGGAGATATGTGCAGAAAACTGATACACAAGACTAGAGTGTCCTCTCGTGGCCATCAGTCTGAACATTTGAATATATAAATCGTACTGGAGTATAAGTCACAGGAAACACCCGAATCATGAAAAAAAAGTACGACTTATAGTACAAAAAATACAGTAAATACACAAATGCAAACACTGCATTGAGAAACTCTGTACTACATCCCCACAACCCCAATTCCCCCCTACCTTTTTTTTTATTTTTTAAGCGTGTTACTCTTATATTTTGTTACATCTACTTTGTGATTACTGTGCTGGGCATCCATTCCCTAAAAAATGACAAATTATTTATAAAAAAAAAAAGTTGAATGATAAACTCAGCCGACCTGATGCCAGTTCTAATAATAGTAAATGTGTTCAGTTGATGTGGTTAGTTGTTTCCTGTGCTTCACACACCAACACACAGCTGGAGCTCGAGATAGACTCTGTACACAGCTCCTCTCCTCTGCTCCTCTGACCCCAACACTTTAGTTTGTATTTTTACTTTACTATTTGATTTTGTACACATTTTCAATATCTTTTTTGTAAAATAAATATCTCTTTATTTGCACACTTCTCCACGCTCCTGTTTTTGTTCTACGTCCAGTTTTTAATGTCTTTTTAGTTTCTGTGTCATCCTCTAGACCCTGTGGCACATAACAGACAGTCTGGTTGGATATTTTTGAGCCGATACCGATATCTGGTATTTGTGTTACTGTTGTGCTCGATACCGGGACTGGCACACGGGCCCCAAACAGACCGGGACTGGCACACGGGCACAAACAGACCGGGACTGGCACACGGGCACAAACAGACCGGGACTGGCACACGGGCACAAACAGACCGGGACTGGCACACGGGCACAAACAGACCGGGACTGGCACACGGGCATATGGGCACAGGGGCACACACAGACTGGGGCAGAGCAGGAGACATACAGTATCTGTGCTAAATATTGGCTACATTTTCAATATTGGACTGATCCTGATACCTGGAGAAATCTTTCACTATTTTCCAGTTCCGTTGGGAAGAGAAACAGTTTGAACAGAGGTTTGAGTCACACACATCTGATTCCCTTTTACAGTTACGGAGTTCGCAAACTTCCGAAGCCCATTTCTCAAGCCTTTTTACACTGTTAGAATCCAACAGCCACACAATTACAATGTCTGAATCCCAAAACTAAAATATGACAATATCAGAACCAGAAACAAAAATGATATGGTTCAAAAGACTTGAAAAGATCAACTTTGTCAATAGACTCATCCCACTGGGAAAACAAACCTGGAGGTTTGATGCTCACTTCCCAGTGTGGACTGCGTGATGACTGGAAGTCTGAAATTCAGGATGCGTGTATTGAAATTGAGTCTGAACTGTTAGTATCATGACAACACTAGTAAGAACGCTAAATGATTTACTGTGGAACATTCCGGGCAAAGTAATAACATCTCCAATGGGACAAGCATGTGGTAAACCCTCCACCAAAACACATTACTGAGTGCACCTTTAATTATCCTGTATAGAGGTGTGAAAAAAGTTTAAATATCGATATATCGTATCGTTTAATGTGATGATATAGTATCGATATCGTGGGCTGTTGTATCAAGATATCACCAAGAGTATTTTTTGGTGTATTTCACTAAATGATTTTGTTACAGCTACAGTTTTGTTGCTTGTTTGTCATTGCTCTGCCTGGAATGTTCCACAGTGTGACATTAACTCTTTCCCCCTTGGACACCTACTTGGAACAACTCATACATATATTAGTATGTATAGGTTGTAGTGGCCCCCAACTATCACAGCCTCTGATTACATGTGAAAAACCGAGCCGTTTGTAATGGTCGTCAAATCAGGTCTTTAATGATCCAGCAGACGTGTCAAAAGACGTCATTAAGGAAACAAGGGGGTTTGTCAAATGTCGTCTTCACGGGGGAAAGAGTTAAACGGCTCGACTTTGTTACAGGTGGTTTTATAGCCCAAAAATAATCTGAAAAACAGACATTAGGCTGCATCATTTGCACCAGTGTCAAAAATTCTACTCGTCCCCAATTTTAAAATGTGACAAAACCAATTAAAAGAAAATCTATGGAATATTTGCTCAATTGAATAAAATCTGCTGGGTCCACCAAGTCTCTGAAGTCTCATCCAAACAGTGTCCATAAAACTCTGGCAGAAAAATCTGTTTTTCTCAAATAACTTAATAAAAAATAATCCATTTCGGTCTATGGTGTCAGTGAAAGTTGAATATAAATGTTGCTGTTGTGCATCTTTTGGTGCCAATTGTATATTTCTATCTCCATAACTTTCTAAGATATGATAATTGTATCAAGATTTTGTATGTTTTTTCAATATTATTCAATATCCACAAAGGCCAAAGATGAAATGAGAGAAATCAAGTTTGTTCTTTCTGTAGTGATCATAGACTGTATATAAAAGTAGAGTAACTGAGTGAACGTCAGTGACAGGTGCAGCTCAGGGTTTGGTAAAACCAAGTTTAAAGAAAAACAGATGTTTCAACTCAGATTGAAGGATTCTGCAGGAACTAAACTGCAGAGGTTTGGTGAACCCAGTAAACATCAAGAGAATTTTATGACATTCGTCACAGAAGTTTATTTTGGCAAGTGTAAAAAAAAAAAAAAAAAAAGATACTAGGTACAGATTGATTTTCAAACATTTTCAGGCAAATGATGAAGCCTAACAGACATTGTTACTGTGAGTGGGGTCGCCTTTCCACAGATCTGACCTGGACACTTGGTCTGGTTCAGTCTCCATGCAGATAGAAAAGTTTTAATGCCAAACAGTGACACATCGCAGGCAAAGCAATAACATCTCCATGGAGACAAGCGTTTGACTGAGCCTCTACCAGAAAAGTTACACAATGCAGCTTTAGGTGTGAGTGTGTAAATGTGCTGTGTGTTTTTGCGTGTTAGCTCCAGGGGGCGGAGTCAGAGTCAGGAAGTGCAGAGGAGGATGTGTGTGCATGTGTGTGCGTGTGTGTGTGCGTGTGTGTGTGTGTGTGTATGAGCCGGAGCGTTTACCAGCAGCAGTGTGCGTCTCCAGCATGGACCCGGACGGTAAGAACACACTTTCACTTTGGACTTTATTAGAAATGTTTAAACTGCTGATAGACTTTGTACCCGTCTTGACTTTTAACTGCAGCATTTAGAATCTGAAAATAAAAAGAAGACATGACAGGTTTAAGAGAACAAAACCTCTGTAAATCCAAGACAACAGCTGTTTGACTTTTCAGAAATCTAAACTGTCAAACATGACTAACTATAATGACACAACTCTTTTTTTTTGTATTTTTATTTGCTCTCTTTTTTTTATGTTATTTCGTTATTTTATTAGAACTTTCATCATATTTTAAGTGCAATTTTCTTGTAGTCGATGCCACTAACGATACTAAAACTAATTTCCGCTTAAAATGAAAAGAAAAGAGACACTGATCTTTTTTTCTATCTATTTTAAAAAGTAAATAAAAGAATAAAAATGAATTGAATTGAAATTTAAATTGATTGAAACCATAATTATACATCGCAAGTCTTACATATATGAAAAAAAAGACACATTACGCAGGTCTGACAAAAAAAAAAGAAAAAAAAAGATACATATAACTTTATCTTTAAGTCATTTTAAGTTATATTTTTATTATTTTATTTATATTGTTCTCTGTGCGATTCCAAACACTATAAATAGTCGTCACGATGGTTAAGTTCGTATGAGAAGAACTTCAGCTAAGACCTAAAGAAAAGTGCCCTTATTTTGTCTTTTATAATTTAGTTTTTTATTTTGTACTGGACTATGTGTGTGTGTGTAAAGTGCGTTGTGTGAAAAGTGCAGTGTGTGAAAGCAGAGCACAGTGAAGCACGGTGAAAGATGATTCCAGAGTGGACTTTATGCAAGAGGAACAACCAGAGGTGGCACTTCCCTGTGGCTCAAACAAATCAGCTCCTCATTTACATGTGACGTCACCAGGACATGCAAAACTGCTCGCTCCCATCGTCTGCTCCACCTCATCTGCTCCTCTGCTCCACCTGAACCTCTGACCCTCTCCACTGCTCCACCTGACCATTTGACCCTCTCCTCTGCTCATCTGACCCTCTCTTATCCCTCTGACCCTCTCCTCTGCTCCACCTGAACCTCTCCTATCTCCTCTGACCCTCTCCTTTCCATCATCTGCTCCTCTGACCTTCTCCTTTGCTCCATCTGACCCTCTCCTCTGCTTCATCTGACCATTTGACCCTCTCCTCTGCTCATCTGACCCTCTCCTCTGCTCCACCTGAACCCCCCCCTCCTCTGCTCCTCTGCTCCTCTGCTCCTCTGCCCCTCTCCTGTCCCTCATCTGCTTCCGACCTTCTCCTCTGCTTCATCTGACCGTTTGACCCTCTCCTCTGCTCCGCCTTACCCTCTCCTCTCCATTATCTGCCCCTCTGCTCCTCTGACCCTCTCCTCTGCTCCATGTGTTCCTCTGACCCTCTTTTCTGCATCAGCTGTTCCTCTGACCCTCTGCTCTGCTCAACCTCACCCCTTCCTCTGCTCCATCTGACCTTCTTCTCTCCATCAGCTGTTCCTCTGACCCTCTCCTCTGCTCCTCTGCTCCTCTCTAGTGTTTTTAAAAACACCTACAACTGAATAACAGACAGATAAGTTTATTGAAACATCCAGACAAAGTTTAAACATCTCCATGGTGACAAGCAGGCGATGAACATTCTACTGGAAAAGTTCCACAGTGCACTTTTCACTAAGGCTTTCAAAATCCCACATACATTTTATTATGAAAGGTCCTATATGTTTGAGGAGCTCTTTACTATGAGTCTGTCTACATCTCCAAAGCTCCAAATGCTCTGTTCCACCTTGTGATGTCATGAAGCTGTAGTTTGAAAGTTAACTGCTATTTTTAGCTTCAATCAAACAGTGTTACTCTACAATATTCTAGAATAACTTCAGCTGTACTGTGTGTGTGTGTGTGTTTTATCGGAGTCGGCTCTGCTGCTGTGTTTCCTGTGACTTGCAGCCACAGCCACATCCGCCTCAGACATCCCATAATATGCTTCAGCTGTTTTCTTCTGACAGTTTTCAAGTGTTTCCTCATTAAATACACACCCAAAGTTCTATTTTGTTGACACTATTTTAAAACTACACTGCGTCACTTTTCTGGGGCTCTTCACCTCCATGGAGATGTTATTGCTTTGCTTGGGAAGTATCGAAAATCATTCACTAAAACGAGTAAAGTTAGATACTCATTTGAGCAGGTATCGATACTACAAAAGTCCCACTGACAACATGAAATCCCAGTCTATTTCAAACCTACAAACACTTTAAGACAGAATCTGGTCCAAAACACCGAGCCACAAACAAAGTAATGTGCTCTACTCCATTCAGTGTAGTGAAGAGTGCAGCGAGCGCCACACTGGAGAAACAAAACAGACACTTCACAAGAGGAAGTACCAACACAGACGAGAGAGCAACACAGGACCTCAGTCTGCTGTACATCTCCACCTACAAGAGCAGAGTCAAACTCTAATTCACAGAGGCCAAAATTTAAAACTGAGACTAAGTTGTGGGTCAAATTTCAACAACATCTGCATGTTTTCTCTTCTTTTGAGATATATAATGGGGTCTGGTCAAGCAGTAACAGAGGGAAACAGGGTCAGATTTTTGACATTCAAATGTCTCTTATTCAGAAACTAGAGGAACTATTGAAATAAGTAAAGTATCAGAATGTAGGAAAGAGTTACACTCCAACAGGGTCAAGTTAAACCTGTGATATTCTTTCAAGTTGTTGACAAAAAATTTAAAAACTCATGTCAGTAACGGAGGGAATGAAATATGCAGCACTTTTTGGGCAATAAATCCAAACAGTGATAACTCTTGGTTCTCACTTCCATATCCTTAACAAACTGGTTTGAATATTTGCTTCATATAGTTTTCTACCATATGGTCCAAGATTAGGTTGAAAAACCTCTGACTTTTTGACTCATGAGATTTTTTATTAAGAAAGGTCATGGTAACGGAGGGAAAATTGTTCAAACAAGTAGAAGGTGCAGGATTTTACATCATTTGTCGCTTTTTTCTTCTGAAAACTTTAATATTACTTCAAAATGAAAGGAAACTATTTCTATAAAATATGTCAGTCCTTCCAAGCAAATTTTTATCATTTTAAAAATATATATATATATATATATATATATATTTAAAATCATGTCCCTTCATCAACAGTTCAAAGATGGAAATAACACAAGATATGATGAAATACATCCATTTATTGACATGATTTGCAGGTCTTTGACATTTGGGAAATAATCTTTGTTCCATGTTTCATACATGGTCTGTTTAAAACATATGGAACTTTAGAACCAAAAATGGTACAGAAAAAAGGTCAACAGTTTCATAAACTAGAGTACATATGTATCTGTTCAATACATTTTTATATCAGATGAATTAACTTGACTTTTTGGCCTTGATGTTTACTTCTGCTTGACCGGGCCCAGTGTTAAACCTTTTCTTATTCAAATAAATATTTAATAATAATTTTGCTTAAACACTGAATCTAGAACAAGCAAAATATAAAATAATAACATTTTGAAACAGTAATGTCTCTATAGCCTGTGGGCAGCTCTAATACATGTTTGATGTGATCTCATGGGCTAAATATAATTTTATCGTGGGCCAAATTTCGCCCCCGGGCCTGAGTTTGACATGTCTGACCTAAAAGGACCTTAGTCTGCTGTACAGCTCCACCTAAAAGCCACGGGCCACCCCTTTGAGGACAGTGAGGGTACAGATCTTAGCCGGAGAAAAGAACTGGTTTTAGAAGGGAGTGAAAGAGGCTAGTTTTGTTGAGAAAAAGAATCTTTCTTTGGACAGAAATGGAGGCCTCAGACATCATCTGTCTCCTATGTTCCACTGAAACAAAAACTGAAACAAAGAGAACAACAGTGGGAGCAGGTCAGGACCAGAGATGTGAGAACATTTTTTTCTCCTTTTGGGCCTGAATAAGTCTGCTCATCTGCCCCCACACTCAGATACAGATGAACAGACCGAACTAATACAGAAAGTGTAAACAAGTGGGTGTTAGTTTCAGAGGAGTTTCAGTGTAGTTAGCTCCTCCTTCAGCAGATCTAAGGAAGTGTCCACCAGCATCTGAACACAACTTGGATGAGCTGCCAAACATTTTTAATCTAAATAAACCTTTGTTCAGTTTGTAAATTGAATTTCTCCTTTGACATTGACAGGACAGAATGGAATGAATTGGAATTGGAATGAGCTACCTATAGGATGACACACATATAAGACACATGGGAATAGAAAGAACCACATAGATATAGGCATAGTAGAATACAATAGAATACATAGGAATAGAAAGAACTACACTTTAATGTGGAAAATCACATTCTGTTGTTGTATTATCATGGTGGTATCAGAATCAGTATTGAGTATCTAGTCTATTCGTTAGGCTACATTCAGTCTGCAGGGCTTAATGCTCAATTCAGATTTTTTTGTGAAATCCGATGTTTTTGTGAGGTCATTCACATTTCCAATTAAATGTGACTTGTATGTGACTCCAGTGTGAACATTAAATGACCCAAAAGTGTCCTACATGTGCACTGGAGACACGACGACGTCAACCGCAGCGAGCGTCTCTGTGTTTATGGATGATGTCCAAACATGGACGCAGCATTGAGCACCCGGAAATTTTAAAGTTCCTCTCGTACCAGAGCCACAACATGAACATGAAGGAAGAGATTGAGAAGGAGAAGGATGAGGTTTTTGGTCGTGGTGTTTTGTGGGACAGTCTGTTGAAAGGAACGTGTGGATGTAGAGACGTAGCCAAGAGTGGTGGGATAGTGATGTGCTTCACTTCAGTGACACGGAGTTCATTAGCTACTGACTAGAAGAATGTTTGTGTACTTTTTGTACTTGTTGATAACGTGGTGGATGAAAGCGCTTTGGCCATTCAGACTGAAGTCGCATGTGAAAAGATCAGATATGTATCGGTTTCAGGAGCACATATCCAAGTTTGAAAAATCCACATTTGAAAAAATCGGATCTGTGTGGTTCAGACTGACATTAAAAGATCAGATACAGGAACATATGGGCCAAAAAATTGGATTTGGGTCACTTCAGGCTGCAGTCTGAATGTAGCCTTAGTACTGAAATTGAGTTTGAAGTGTTAGTATCATGTATCAGTATCATGTATCAGTATCATATTAATCATTTTTACTGCTGCAGTTTTGCTCTGTCATAGTTTCGTTGTGTTTTGTACAATGACAATAAATCTAAAGATAGAATATATTGTTTTGTCAGTTGCTATGGGAACAGTCCTAATTTTTCATCATTCTATACAACATGGATAGATGTAGCTTCAAACTTTGGCATATCCAGAGCTGCAAATTATTCAAATGATTCTAGTGAAGATGTATGGAGTTTAAAAATACTGTGGAGCACTTCCTGTAGTATCACATGACATCACAAGGTGGAACAGTGTGCTTTCCATTTGAGAGAAGAATTAAATCTGCAGGGTTTGTGTGTTAAACATGTTTGAATGACGCCTGTTTTCTCGACCTCATAGAACTAAACCACCATAAACCAGTCTGAAGTTTCTTGAGTTGTGGACTGTACAGGGGCCCCTCCCCAGCCTGTGTTCTGTTTGTGTTGTGAAAGGCCCCTGATCCTGACCTGAGCCGGGATCAGGATCAGGGGCTGGTTCTTTAAAGCCCTGTTTGCTCCACAGAGCTCCACAGATCGACCGGACCTCTCCTCTGACTGAACACCTCCACGACTCCAGAACCACCGAGCGCAGACAGCACCGAGGAACCACCAGGCACCTGCTCCGGCATGTCGTCCCCCAGCCAGCACGGAGGCACCGCCAGGAGCCCCGTGAGCCCCGAGCACAAGAAGGTACAGCAGGAGCACACTTTAGGATTAGAGAGTTAGAGAAGAAAACATGGAGCTCATAACAATATTCAAATCTCTGTGTGTGTGTGTGTGTGTGGGTTTGTGAAAAGGTCATAGGTCATAAACATAAGCTGTGCAGTCTTAAAGTAGCAGGTTTTACTGGTCTTCTCTTCGTGAGAGTGTGAGGTGACCTACTTGTTATTGTGTTGAAATGTATTGAAATTATTGCCTGGAATATTCCACAATCAGTCTATGATTTATCACAGACTGACTCAGACTGTGAGAGTGTGTGTGAGAGTGATGTGTGGAGGTGAGACGTGTCACTGGCCCAGATTATCAGTCTCACTCCGTCTCCTCACACTAAACCTGAGCTCAGAGTCGCATTCAGCTCCTTTACTTCACTCACAGCGACGAATTTGTGGATCTTAATGATTGTGGTAAAGTAACAGTCACTTTCAGGGTGAAAAAGCAAAAATGAGACGAGTAACTTCAACAATGACGTGTTATTGTCAAGAGTCCAGCTCCATTTCCCAGTTTGTTCCGCTCCTCCTTTTGCTTCCTCCCTGTTTTTCCTACAGCCGCCACTCACTCCCTGATCCTCCCAGAACAACTCTATATCCTCCCTCTGTTCTTCAGTCTCTATATCCTCCCTCTGTTCTTCAGTCTCTATATCCTCCCTCTGTTCTTCAGTCTCTATATCCTCCCTCTGTTCTTCAGTCTCTATATCCTCCCTCTGTTCTTCAGTCTCTATATCCTCCCTCTGTTCTTCAGTCTCTATATCCTCCCTCTGTTCTTCAGTCTCTATATCCTCCCTCTGTTCTTCAGTCTCTATATCCTCCCTCTGTTCTTTCAGTCTGTGCTCGATTTCACCTGTTCTCCTGTTTTGTTTCTTCAGTATTTTTAGTTTCCTAAGTGTGGGGGTCTTGGTTGAGTTGACATGGAATGACTGAGTTTTATTATTTTATTGTTTCACATGTTATAATGTGTTTTGAACTTAAGCTGAACAAAAGTTTAACAACATTTTGTTCAAAGACTAATAAATATTCAAACCCAGGCATTATTGTAGAGTAGAACCTGTTTTTACAGTAACATTTGCTCAGTTCAAGACAATCAGTTTCCATGGTTTTACAGAGTAAGATGAAATTACTCTTATTAAAGTAAAGGTTACTACATATTTCAGATTTGAGGAACTGATTGATTTGTTGGTTCAGCTTCACAAAATCTATGACTGAAAACTAAAGTTCAACTTTACTCACTTGCTGTGAGGAGGAATTTACTGTAGTGAACACTACACTGAAGAGTTACCTGTACACTCACTTTAGATTCACACTCCACTTTAGTCAGATTTTTCAAGGCAGTTTCCTAGATTTGTTCAAGTAACATCGACTTATTCGATTTTACAGTGTACAGCTCCACTGTCTCTGCACAGAACTACATTCTGACTATGCTCACCTCTCCACAGATCTGTCCTGTAATTTGTTTGTCTCTGGGATGGATAAGTTTAATGTCTTACTGTGGAACTGTCTAGACAAGACAATAAGGCAAGGCAAGGCAAGTTTATTTTTACAGCACAGTTCGTACACAAAGTAATTCAAAGTGCTTTACAGAATAAGAAATACATTAAAATCGTAATAAAAACAAATCAAAACATAAATAATCATAAAGATTAAAATGAAAAAAGAGAGACATAAATAAGAGAGAAGAGTGTGGAATGAAAACCTTTCAGTCATATGCACAGTTAAACAGAAATGTTCGGAGCCTGGATTTAAACAGCGTCACAGAAGAGTCTGTGTCACATGTTCAGGATGACAATAACATGCATGGAACCAAGCCAGTGACAAACTGCACACAACTGGAATAATCATCTTTAACACTCGGACTGTGTACCATTCATTCTTTTGAATTTCAATCAAGGAAGAAAAAGAATAAAATGGGAAAATCAAAAACAGAAAAAACAGATTTTCTGTCCTTGTGCCTATTTCAGTTTTGATATTTTATTCTCTCTGGTTTATTTGCCCGGGACGTTCTGCTGCTAAAAGAACGTACCTGAATAATCGTTGCCGGTTTTTGGACAAACATGTCTCTTCTTTTACAGTGACGCATTTATTTTGCGTCTTGGAAAGTCATTGTTGAACTCCATGACGAGAAACAGGAAGCAGTGAGAAACTCTTCTTTGTTTAGTGACTCTGAATTCACAGGCAACGCTGACTATCAGAACTTCATATAAACCAGAGAGAATAAAATATCAAAAGTAAAATACGAACCGAGACTGTTATTTTGATTGGTGTTATCTGAAATAAACTTAAAATGAAAAATTGGAAATAGAGGCCAAAATCCAAACTGTTTTCCCATTTTATTGTTTTCTTTGTGCAAGTAGCAGACATCCGTGTTTGAAAATGAAAGGTCGTTACATAAGGAGAGCTGTTTGTTACGATTAGACTGTACCAAATCCTAAAGAACAGAACTTTAGCCATAGGAATGTTAAACACTGGTGAGTAGCTCTGGTCCTCCTGTACACTCCTGTACACTGTGAGTCAGTCAAACACAAGTGACTCAGCTCAATACAGTATTAGTATTAGTCCATTAAATCTCTCAATGGCCCTTTGTGATTATGTAAGAGAATCAACTGTTTAGAACTGTTCACCACACTGCAATACACAGTGCAGTGGTGACATTTATATTTGCATTTTATTTTTAATTGAACTCAGATTCATTTTTACTTTTTGATGCCCACGCTAACTCATTAAAGTTGTCAGTTCCATTGCTGCTGCTGGCACCATACTATTGTGTCTTTGGTAATGTGTCCAGACGTCCCTATTCACCCGGGACAGTCCCAGTTTTGAGCCTGTGTCCCCTGTCCCAGAAGATTTATCCAAAACAGTGATGTTATACAAGAAATGTCCCAGGTGTCCCTATTTTTGACCAATCTGATCTCTGTCAACAGTGCAAAGAGGCATACCATATTTTCCGGGCTATTGGGCGCTTTCTTAAGCCTCCAGCCCCATCAAAAAACGACTACGCACACCATTTCCCACAATCCAGAGCACCTATACACGAATCCACTGGGGTGTCCCAGCACGACTTCAGTAAACTACAAAGCCGCACCACCCACAGAACACACAAACACACATCTTATAACCCAGAGCGCCTAATCATTCGTAAAATACAGTTCATTCTCATTTGTTTAGGTAAAATACAGAAAAGCTGCTTAAAAAGTACCAAAACACAAAGAAAATGAGTGACATTAGAGCCCAGTGCAGAACAATTCTCTTAATTATGCACTCGTTTCACAATTTTATTATTACCAACCAACACAAACCAGTGTGTCCCAAGTTTTTTTGTTTAGTTTTTTTTTAAATCTGCTCACCTTAGTCCTTGAGCAAGACACTACACCCACCTCATGTTTGTGTGTGACTGTGTAATTGATTTGATGAGAAAGGCAGTGCACAGTATGGAGCATGTTTTGGGTTGATGGGGGAAACCAGAGTGCCCAGAGGAAACCCATCCACACACAGGGAAACACATGCAAACTCCACACAGAAAGGCCCGGGCGACCTGGGGGTCGAACCCAGAACCTTCTTGCTTTGAGGCATGAGTGCTAGCCACTCTTTGAGTTCTTTGTGAATTCAGATCACCATAAATCGACTCAACATCAGCGGTGATCATCAAATCATCAAAATCAAGTACAAGATCACAGGTTGTAGATGTGTTGAGGACATCATTTTAATTTAATTTCTTCATCACAAACAGACCTGGAGTTTATTTTGTTTCATTCACACATGTTTAACAGATGCTACAAAAAATCTAGGTAAGTTAAAATGACTTAATTGAAGAGCATTTTACGTTATTTGAGTCGCTTCATCTTGGCAAATAAAATGATCTACTAATGGAATAAGAGTATTTTTCTTCACTTCAATTTGAGCAACATTTGATTTTGTTTTTTATTTTAAGTGCACAGAGTTGTATTTTTTTATCGTAAGTGTAGCGAGCTGTATTTTCATAATTGAACTACAAAAAGTCCTCTGGTAGATCATTTTACTTTCATAATTCAAGTCATCTTAACTTGGCTAGATTTTAGTTATTGCAGATTTGTGATGTCATTTGTGCTCTGCTGTGTTTTAAAAACGTTTTAAACTCCATACACCTTCACTTCATTTGGATCATTTCAGCCCTGGAGTTGCCAGTCTCTGCTGGAGGTTAAAAGGAGCTGCACCTTGAAAACTACTACTTCATGACATCACAAAGTGGAACAGAGCATTTTGAGCTTTGGAGATGTAGACAGACTGATACTGTATTTTCTGCACTATAGTACGCTCTGGATTATAAAGTGCACTGTCATTGAATGGTCTATTTTTGAACTTTTTTCACATATAAACCGGAATATAAGGCGCATTAAACCAAACACAACAGTTAGATAAGTCAGTCAAACATTATTTAACATGTTCACATTAACTCTCAACTTTGTTCAATTGTAACACGTAAAAAAAAATACTGTGTGAGACGCTAAATTGTTCGTATATTCACAATAAGTCATAATTGTTCAAACAGTTGGGTGATTCCTGCGTCCACACGCCCACATCCCTCTGTTATTCTCCGAGTCAGTGTGGTTACTCTGGTCTTGGTGAAGCTCGGATCACAGTTGATCCTGATCCTTAACCCGGGCGTCCACGATCCGTTGGCAGATCGTGGCGTAAGTGGCTCGGCGCTGTCTCTCTGTCTTGGTGAATGTGTGTTCTCCTTCTCTCATCCACTGCTCCCACGCAGCTCACACTTTCACTTTAGAACAGCCTTGAGTTTAAAGTGGGCGTTGTGAGCGTGTCTCTTGACAGGAGCATTTTGATATTAAAAGGAATCACAGTCTGTATTACTCCTGATGCTCCTGACTACGGGAGCCGTAATGCTGCAAGTGGAGCGGCTTTGTACTTTACTAAAGTCGTACTAAGACAAACCAATAAATTCATAGATAAGACGTCTGGATTATAAGGCACGCACTCATTTTCTGATTAAATTAAAGGCTTTTAAGTGCACCCTATAGTGCGGTAATACGGTAATAAAGAGTTCCTCAAACATGTGTGAATGAAACAAACACAACTCTGGGTTTGTTTTTGAGGAGGGAACTGCATTAGAAGAAGGGTTAAAGCTCACAAGAGTCAGATTTTCAGATAAATAGGACCTGACAACTTGACTTCCTGTTTGGACACGAGCAGCACATGAGACAAGAGGAAACCCTAGAACTGTTACCTATCAACCAGAAAGTAAACAAGGGCGAAAAGTTCCACAGTACTTCTCATAAGTCATAAAGGTTGGAGCGTGAATTGTCTGCACAGTTCCACAGTAGTTACCATAAGTCATAAAAGTTAGTGTGTAAATCGTGTTCTAGTTTCCTGTGCTCATGACGTACGCAGAGGGATTCTGTTTTACAACTCAGCCATACTTCTTGTATGTTTGTACCTTGAAGCTCACAGAGACATTTTGCATAACATAGGACCTTTAAGTTTGAGTGTAGTGCCCTCCTCAAAAACACACCGGAGTTTGAGGACGTCTTTATTATTAGTCTTCCACCTTGTGATGTCAAGAAGTGATGGTTTTCAAGTCAAATGATTCTAGTGAAGATGTATGTCATTTAGATTTTTCATTTATTCAGTGCCACAGATAAGAACATGATATGCCTGATGTAGTGACTGTGGTACTTGGGTATTCAGATCAAACACTCCAAGACGATTCAGGAAACCGTTAAGTTTGACATGATTATCACAAAGACGATTATTCTGAGGGAATGAAAGATCAACACCTCCCTGTTTCCATAAATGCTTAAATGATATGGCGTCTTGTTTGTATCTTAAAGAGACTCGGTACAATCTGTTAGTCTGATTCATCAGACGGGTTCACTTTGTACAAACCGTCTGACCTCGAAGTTGTAGAATTCGTTTGCTTGATGGTAGGCGGGTACTTTTTATCATATAACCAGTCGCTGCTGTTTGATCGTGACATATGTAATGCTCTGCTAACAGGACTAACTGGTTTATTAAGCTTTTCCCAAATCCTGTAGGAAGAAGGACAATCAAATCTTTCACCTTGATAAAATTCACCAAACATTCTCTTTGTTCCGACTTGGGAATCGTTGCCAACACTGAATATATGTCTCTTCACACTTCCGGGGTTTTTGCGAACCATCTAGTGCAGGCATGTCCAAACTATGGCCCGTGGGCTAAATGCGGCCCTCGGACAATTTTTTGTGGCCCTCAAGATTCCAGGTGAATTGGCCCAAATTACCTTGTATCAATTAAAAATGTACTTTCTACCGCATGTTTTCTTTTTTTTTTTTAAATCTACCTGGAAAAAGGAAATATTGAATATTTAGTGTGTGGTTTTAAGGATCTCAGCATGAATAAAATCTGATGGCTCATTCTAATGTGTTAAACATGCACATATTTCAATTATTCTCTGTATTGAGCATCAGTCTACAGCCCTCGATCAGACCTCTGCTTCGTCTGTGTTTACATATGTGGCCCTTGATGAAAAAAGTTTGGACACTCCTGGTCTAGTGTATTCCAATTCCTGACCTAGTCGCTGGAGAGAAATGAAACTGAGTGGAGACTCTAGGTGGCACCAGCCTGACTAACGATCCACTGGATCAGAAAGATAAATTTACAAAACTTTGGGAGCCTTTTATAGATCATATTTAACAGAGGACTCCACCTCAAACGTCAAAGGACTGATTTCATCTCTATACTTCACTGTACAGGCTGTTGTTGTTGTTGTTGTTGTTGTTGTTGTTGATTTGGACATATGTGCATTAGCAGTGTTTGTGTGTATGTTTTTTCAATTGAAAAATTGGAAACCAAATAAACAATATATTGAAAAAAAGACGTATGTAAGTTTAAAAAGGTGAAGCACTTGTTGTATTATCACAAGCATCAGAAGGTGGAACAGTGTTTTGTGTTTGAGAAAAACTCAACTGTCTAAAAGTGCAGGTTTGTGTGTTAAACATGTGAATGAAACAAAACACAACTCCAGGTCTGTGTGTGATGAGGAAAATACATTAGAACAGATCAGAAAACAGAGTCACATGGTCCTTTAACTTAGGGTGACCAAACGTCCGTAGTTCCCCGGACATGTCCGTATTTTGCATCATGTCCGGGGCGTCTGGGGCTTTTTTTATAAAGTGATGCAAATGTCTGGGTTTTCATTACTGTTCATTAAACTGAGCGTCTCTCGTAGCGTCTGTGACTCAGAAGGAGCGAGACACAAATAGTCGGTCAGTCTGCAGCACACCGAAGCACAAATGCACATTTAACAATGACTTGGACAAGAAATTCTCCTTTTTCCATCCCGGTTGGGACAAGTGTGAGTCCATGTGCACAGGTTGAGGTGAGAGTACAGTGTCCCTCGTTTATCGTGGGGGTTATGTTCTAAAAATAACCCGCGATATGTGAAATCCACGAAGTATCAACTTTATATTTTACAATTATTCTATCTGTGTTAAGGCTGTAAAACCCCTCAGCACAAACTTTATACACTTTTCTCAGACAGGACAGGTGCAACCCTTTTTACTTCCTTCTTAAAACTTATTGCTGTTGTTGTCCTTGTGTTATTTTCCTCCTTCTTTATGTAACAAACTGAAGATTCATTTATTCCATAATGGAGCCTACAGCGCAGAGTCCTGCACGGGTCCATTTTTGGAGACCCCCAGTACAACAACGCACCCGCTAGTACAGGACCGCACCTGCCCGTACCCCAAGGTGTCCGGGTTTTTTATTTAACTGATGAAACTATAATAAATATTGATCACAGATAAGATCCACCAAACCAGGTCAGCATGAGGAGAACATGAGTCATCGTGTCATTTTCACTTTAACATTTGACTTGTGTTGTTCCAGCCCACCGCAGAGGCTCTGAAGGGGGCCATCCAGCTGGGGATCGGGTACGCTGTGGGGAACCTGAGCTCCAAACCCGACCGCGATGTCCTCATGCAGGACTTCTCTGTGGTGGAGACCGTCTTCTTACCCAGGTGGGACATGAGAGATGGGAAGTGCACTACATCTAGGAATCACTCAAGGCACACACACACGCGCACACATGTACACACACACACACACACGCACACATGCACGCACACACACACACACACACACACACACACGCGCGCACACACACACACACACACACGCACACACACACACCTGGAGGAGATGAAGAAGAGGAGGCTGATGGTTCTGCTGCTGCGGTGGAGTTGGAGTGGAGGAGTTGCTGAAATGAAGGAGAAGTTGGAGGGTGCGGGTTGGGGTGCAGTGGCACAGTTGGTAGAGACATTCAACCACTGACCTGAAGGTTGGGAGTTTGATTGTTTCTAGCAGAATATAAACTGAGATTGTGTCCTTGAGCAAGACACACCACAGTCCTTACTTCCGTGTGTGAGTGTGGGGGAGTGATGCCTAAGTCTAAAGCGTTTACTGCAGTGTGGTTAAAATGCAGAAGCAGTGACCTTTTACTGTGTTAGTGGCTGTAAATGAATGAGTGACTTCAGTGTTGTCACAATATTCAAATGTCAATGGAAAACTCCATTTCAATAGCAAGAAAAAAGTCTGATGATAAGACACATTCGTGTGAAGGTCACAACCTCCAGAATTCCGTCCCTGAGCTGCAGAAGCTGCACTAGCACTGACTCATGACAGGTGCAGGTGCTGGGGTTTAGGGAGAGACCTTCAGATCAGAGACACGTTTTAGGTTTAAACTAACTGAATTTCAGCAACACAAATGAGAGAGTCACACTGAGAAAAAAAAAAAAATCACTTTTGGGTTAGTAAAATATATTAAATCAACTGGGGTCATTTTTACACTAAAGAACATCATTCTCTGAGAACTACAAGTTATTTAATAGTGATGACAAAATGTACTTACTTTACTCCAGTAGTGGAAGTATTGTGTTTAATGAGTAAGTTCAACTGTAGAATCACCAACACGTTTGAAATCTTGCACAAGTTGCTACTCACAAACCCACAAATACTGAGTCATCCCAAAGTCCTTCTAGATCAGTCCTGCTCTCGACATTAAAACATAAAGAAATAAATAAATAAAATAACATCATTGGTTGATCGGTCAGATCCACTGACACACAGGTTGGTGGTGCGATATAATATTTACTGAATTATTTCATCACAGCAATGCAATTAATTATGAGAATATTTTATAGATTTTACTTAATGTATTTACATGAATATGACTTAAATTCATGCCTGTTAATGACTGTGGTGAGTACATTTGACTTAATACTGATAGGCAAATTGTATGTGATATTACAGCAGTTTACTTAAAAAGTGCAAGTGCAAATTGGGGAGGATTTTTTCTAGTAAATCTTCCAAGTTATTTTTTCAGTGCATGTGAAGCTCATTCTGCAGGTTCAGTCTTGTGATTTATTTTAGTTTATTTTAGTTTGAATTCCAGTTTTGGCTTCAATTAGTATCTTCAGTTTTTGTCCTATTTACAGTGATCAGATTGGAATAAAATCACTTTTTGAGCTAAACTCTCACGCCACAACTTTTACAGACAAATAACAACTAAACAACAACAACAACAAATAACAAAAATAAATAAATAAAAGACAATGACTTTTATTATACTGCAATGGCTATAGGAAATGCACTCTTCCTGTTTGCACCACTGACCTTGTTACATATTCATTTGTATGTGTGTGTGTGTGTGTGTGTGTGTGTGCGTGCGTGTGTGTGTGTTCCAGTGCGGGCAGCAGTCTCACCCCTGCACACAAGTTTCCAGACTTCAGACTGAAGACGTACGCTCCTCTGGCCTTCCGTTACTTCAGAGAGCTGTTTGGGATCAAACCCGACGACTACCTGGTGAGTCCTGCTCGAGCTGTCAATCAAACGCTTGTGTGGTGAGAAAGAACACACACGGTCCTGCGCTGAGAACACTATCTGATCTACTCATGGCTCTACGATCTGATTATCTCAGATGGAGGGCAGGAACAGCTGAAGAAATCCCCAAACATTGTCATTCTATTCCCGTCAGTTCTGTTCAACTCTAATGCTTTTTTTTTTTTTTTAACACAATCTGACCTGAGAGAACTGACTGAGCTGAAACTACAACATGTGAGCTGATTTATGCTGTCAAACAAGTCTCACACAAGAAATGATAACATCTTCACCTTTAAAAGACACATATTATGCTATTTTCTGATCTGTTACAATATAATTTCAATAACGTTTTAGAAAATTTTCAATGTCACGATTCACTCCCATTCGCACAGACTTAGTCCGATCATGCTGAAATTTGAATCACTAATGTGTGATCTCAGCCTGAATATAATACACTATAAAACATATCAAATGTGAACACTATAGCGCCCCCTACCATAGACATGAAACATCAACATTATAAGATCTGTACCAAATATGGGAATTTAAATTCTATGAATGACTACAAATAAAAACATATATTACTGACATGAGGCATTTTTCATGGTTCAGTTGGCCAGCAGGAGCGCAAAGAGTCCTATATTAAAAAAAAAAAAAAAGCATTTAAAGGTGCACTATGTCATTTTTCTGGTGGAGGATGTGTTGGCCTGGGCGGCTCTCAGGAAGGGACAGTAGTGTGCCGGGGGTCACGTGGGAGGTGCGAGGGCCGTTCGACACCACTTGCGGCTTTAATGTTTTGTCCTCCTCAAAAACAGGCCTGGAGTTGTGTTTTATTTCATTCACAATCATTTGGATCATTTCAGTCCTGGAGTTGCCAATCTCTAAAAGAAAAAGGAGCTGTTCACTTGAAAACTACCATCTCATGACATCACAGGGTGGAACAGAGCATTTGAGCTGTGGAGATGTAGACAGACTCATAATAAAAGATACTCAAACATGTGTGAATGAAACAAACACAAGTCCATGTGTGTTTGTGAGGATTCAAACACTTAAAGCTCACACAGTCAGCCGTGTGTAACAGAAACTTCCAGAGAGTTGGACTTTGCCTTTAACGTGGTGTTTCTTCTCTTGTGCAGTACTCACTGTGTAAGGAGCCCCTCATCGAGCTGTCCAACCCCGGGGCCAGCAGCTCCTGGTTCTATCTGACCAGCGACGACGAGTTCATCATCAAGACCGTCCAGCACAAAGAGGCCGAGTTCCTCCAGAAGCTCCTGCCTGGATACTACATGGTGATGATGGACCTAAACTCTTAATGTTCTCACAAGTCTGTGATTCTGATCAGAAATTATTTACAATATATGTTTTAATGACAGGATTGTTCATATTTAAAAAGTGTCCTGAAGAACTGACAAAAAGACAGAAATCTGAACTGACAAACTAATACAAGAAACATTTCAGAACATTTGTTTGTTTCTAAACTACAGGTCAGCAGATTTTATGTAGCAGTTTGTTTGGGGTTTTTTCAGAATACAGAATATTTTGTTGTTTGTGAAGGGATTGGAGCTCAAACCAGACCCTAGTTTTGTTTGTTATTTCCTATTTATTTTTCTCATAGACTTTGTGGAAAAAGTAAATACAAATGTGAAAGCTGAGGGCTAATCACCTCTACGGAACCAACGTGCACAACATCTCTCTCTCTGAAACGTTATAAACCGCTGAGTTATTCAAACATTTCACTGAATCTTGCTTTATAAATGTGCTTTTTGTACCTAAAACAACCACTTTTTGGAGGACATTAGTTAGTACATAGAGCTGTGGTGTTAGACATACTGAGCCTTGTTTACTGTTTTTGCAGCAGCACTAATACTGTGTAATCATCTCAGTGGTGTAGTGTGTGATCCAGTGTTTCTGCTGGAGGCTGTGTCCAGGCTCTGTGATGGGATTAGTCCTGGTTCGTGTTTCTCTGAGCTCACACTGTGCTCATATAAGCTACAGACTAACAGTACCACTCTATTACATGTGTTTATTGATGAAAAAGACCTGTGTGACAGAACTGAACACTAAATATATGACCTGTACAGAGAATCTGCTGCATAATACAGAATTATTTAAAGATGCATGAATCAGTAGAAATGCAGCTGTAAGCAGAGTGAGTTAAAGATGAGGGAGTACTGGTATAAGATGGTAACATGGTAACATCTAACTGTACATAACATGTCCCATTTAAAGGAACAACATGCTTCCTCCTCCTATATTTATTTTTTAAAAAGATACTAGAATCACAACTGAACCTGTGTCAACAGAACCTTAACCTGCAGACACAGACACACCCAAGTTTGTCTCATTCTCTGTATAAATAACAGCTGCAGGAGCTGGTGTTTATGTAGAGACCATACAGATCAGAGAGACAGTTCAGGTTTAAACCAAGTGGATTTCAGCTTTGAAACTGGCAACCCACATGAGAGAGTCATGTGAGGCTCAATCTGCTTTCTGACTGGAGAATCGTCCAAATAGGCTCTATTCAGGCTCATGTCACAAACCAGGAAGACGTTTGGAAACATGTGATTATAAATTCTGGTGTAGTTCATGACACTGGACTCGACCAACTGTGATCAAACCCACTGAAATAAATGTGATCAGTGGTAAAATGAAGACTGCAGATGTATGTGCTGTTTGGAATCATCTGGAATTTGTCATCTCATCTCTTCTCATCACATGTACCAGTGCACTCAGAGCTGTGTGTCAGTGGAAATGATGAAAACTGAAGTGTGGCTGTAACTGTTGATTCTCCAAACATAACAGAACACTACAATGACATGGAGATGAAGAAAACTGGGACATTTCTCAGTTTTCCTAGATTTTGTCAGACTTACTACAGAGCCGCCCGAAGTTGTCATCACATCTTTCCAAATGTTGTCCTGGTTTGTGACGTAAGCCTGAATAGAGCCTATTATAACTGATAACAGGTCTAATGTTTTCATAATCAAGAATAAATTTGTCTCACAGTTGTTATCAGTAAAAGCTCGATTTGATTTGAACATGTTTAACTCATGTCTGCAGAGACGCAGTTACAATCACCATCTTACATACAGTTCCTTTAAGTCAGTATATTGCTACAAGAACAGGTTTAAAGGACTCGTGCTCATGTCCAGTCTAACCTCCCCCTCTCCTCTCTTCTCCTCTCCTCTCTTCTCCTCTCTTCTCCTCTCTTCTCCTCTCTTCTCTCTCTCTCTGTCCCTCAGAACCTGAACCAGAACCCGCGCACACTTCTGCCTAAGTTCTACGGGCTGTACTGTGTGCAGTGTGGGGGCGTGACTCTGCGCCTCGTGGTCATGAACAACGTGCTTCCACGAGCCATGCACATGCACTACAAGTACGACCTGAAGGGCTCCTCCTACAAACGCCGAGCCAACCGCAAGGAGCGCGCCAAGGCCTCGCCCACGTACAAGGACCTGGACTTCAGAGACATGCACCAGGGAATCTACCTCCAACCGGACAACTACCAGGCCCTGATGAAGACCCTGCAGAGGGATCACACACATATGTACACACATATGGCACACACATATGCACACACACATATGCACATGCACATATGCACACACACATATGCACACACACATATGCACATGCACATATGCACACATATGTACACGCACATATGCACACACACACACACACACACACATATGCACACGCACATATGCACACACACACATATGCACACACACACACACATATGCACACACACACATATGCACACACATATGCACACACACATATGCACACACATATGCACACACATATGCACACACACACACATATGCACATATGCACACACACACACATGCACACACACACACACACACACACATATGCACACACACACACATATGCACACACACACACACACACACACGGCAAGGCAAGTTTATTTTTACAGCACAATTTGTACACAAAGTAATTCAAAGTGCTTTACAGAATAAGAAATACATTAAAATCACATTAAAAACAAATCAAAACATAAATAATCATCATAAAATTAAAGATTAAAATGAAAAGAGAGAGAGACATTAATTACATAAATTGGAGAGAAGAGTGCGGAATGAAAACCTTTCAGTTTTATGCACAGAAATGTTTTGAGTCTGGATTTAAACAGCGTCACAGAAGAGTCTGTCTCACATGTTCAGACTGTTCCAGGTTTTAGCTGCATGAACCTGAAACTCTGACTCCCCTTGTTTAGTCGTGACTCTGGGCACCAGCAGGAGGCCGGTCCCTGAGCTCCTCAGAGTGTGAGATGGTTCATATGACACTAACATGTCACAGATGGACTTTGGTGCTCGGCCATGGAGACACTTGTACAAGCAGAGCTGCTTTAAAGTCTATTCTCTGAGCCACAGGAGCCAGTGCAGAGACCTGAGCACAGGACTTATGTGCTCGTACTTCCTAGGTTGAGTAAGGACCCGACCACAGGCACACACACAGAAAGAGGCCTAGTCGCACATATGTGAAGTCACGATTATTTGAAACTATTATTTAGAGGTGACTGTATCAGGGTTTTAGTCAGGCTGGTGCCACCTAGTGCCTCCACTCAATTTCATTTCTCTCCAGAGACTAGGTCAGGAATCAGAATACACTAGACGGTTTACAAAAACCCTGAAAGTGAGAGTTCAGGCACCAGCCAATCAGCGAAGAGCCAGACATTCTGTGTTGTCAACGATTCCCGAGATCAAGGATTTAAAGTCGGAACAAAGAGAATGTTTGGTGAATTTTATCAAGAGGAAAGACGTTATTGTCCTTCTTCCTACAGGATTTGAGAAAAGTTTAATATACCAGTTAGTCCCGTTAGCGACGCATTACATACGTCACGACCAAATTGCAGCGATTGGTTAAATTAAAAAAAGTACCTGCCTACCATTGATCGAACGAATTCTAACACTGCGAGGTCAGACAGATTCTACGAAGTGAAACCTACTGATGAATCAGACTATCAGGGTTCCCACATGTCCTGGAAATTCTGGAAAACCTTGAAAATAATTGGCCTCATAAAAATGTCCTGGAAAATATATATTTTGTTTTGTCATTGAAAATGTCTCCACACGTTCCTCTGCTGTATTATTGGATATCAAATCAGTAGAGCCTTTTAGTGGTTCTTATTAGAGCAGTTTTTTTTTTTTTTTTTTTTTTTTAATCCCTCTAATGCAAATATCCACCCAAATTCAGGAAATGACACCTTTTTGTTCACCCCTTTCATGTCCCCTGCTTGGTGAGACCTTGGTGTCACAGAGGGTTTCTCTCTGTTCTAAGTGCAACAATGGACCCACAACTATCAGAGGACGAGTGGACAGCACTCACTTTCTTATTATAAATGGATATGATTGGGCAGTCAGATTCACATGTTCTCCATCGAATTCTAACAGAAACATATTTGTTGTCAGCTGCATAATGATGTGTTTGCAGTGACTTATAACTTATTGCAGTGGTTGTGGGATTTGGGGCTGATCTGTGTGATCTGAAAAGGCCCCAGAAAAGCCCTGGATGATCAAACAAAATGGCAGAATTTAACCCTGCAGACAGAGACACATCCAAGTGTTTGTCATTCTCAGTATATGGACAACATACTCAGTCCAAACCTCTGACCTACTTTTGTTGTCATTGGCAAGACACTTTTCCCTTCTTGTCTCTGTGAATGTGTAGTCACGTGTTCTGAGGGGCCGTTGGCGCAGATCGGAAGCCACTCTTCTGCCCCAGTCGACTGTGCCTACAGATAAATACCACCAGCGCGTCTGAGGAAAGAGTGAAATATTGGATCAGAGCACTTTGGGAGTTTTCATTATGGCTATAATCCCGAACAAAATGAATAGGGGCCCAAGTATTGCGCTGTAGAGGAGAGTGGAGTCAGTGTTGTCAGAGAGCCCACAGGCCTAAAGGGAAATGGACACACAAACATGCAGCTGTTTTCCAAATGTACAAGATTCAAATGAACTTTTTCTTATAGTTCGTACTTTCTGACAAAGGCCTCTGTCACGCTGTGACAGAGTCACGAGTGAGTGACAGGTGGAAGTGAAGAGAGAATCTCAGAAGATGCAGATTGTGTTAGTTAGTCTGTAAAACAATACTGCAAAGTTTCTGGGGCTCTGGTCAAAAGTAAAATCTGAAAATCTATCTGCTAAATCTAGACACTAACTGAGAGTAAAATTACAATCAAAACTAGATACTGTAATAAAGAGAAGTCCCATTCACAGGGCAGAAATGAACCTTCCTTAAAAGTCTTTAAAATGATGTTGATCTGTATCAGAACAATTACACAAACGAGTACACACACATGGACCAGTGTGAACCTACTGCACCACTGACCATTACACACACACACACATATATATATACATACAAACATGGGAACAAAACACAAAGTACTACCATTTAATACTGAAAATAACAGTCTATTGTCTAAAGAAAGAGTGTTTTTATTATCATTAACACTAAAACACAACACACTAAAAACACTAAAAGTTTCTGTCCATGACTCCAAATCAAAGTGAAATGATACCAGTGCTGCTATAACTACTAGAGCTGAGCAAACCTATCCATATATCACATTGTTTATTGTAATGATATAGTATTGATATGGTGGGCTGATGTATCAGTATCACCAAGAGTATTTCTTGGTGTATTTTACTCAATTATTTTGTTCCAGCTCCAGTTCTGTTGTTTGTTTAGAGGAAGGAAACTCGTTTATGCAACACATTTGACATTTTCACTGTTCTGGTGATTAAAATGTTTGTGTTTCAAAATAACCTTGTGTAAAAGGTGGTTTAACAGAGACCTTTAGTATCACACCCATGATTTAGCCTTTATTTTTATTGAACCATATCTCGTGTCTAATCAGAAGTGCTTTGTATTATGATTTGTATCGTATCGTGGCCTGTGTATTGAGGTATGTATTGTATTGGCAACTTCTTAATGATACCAGCCCTAATAACTACTACAAGGGTCACAGTCAGGACCATTACATCATGAAATGCTGTTACCGAAGTCTGTTTGTTTTTCTCACAAAGTATTTGTGTACACAAGTATGTTATGAGTGGTAAAGCTCTGACCTGATAATCTCATTACACTGCAAAACACAGGCACATTCCAAACATACTGTACTTGTACATATACTACTTAGAGTAAAGATGGAATTCAAACAATTTTTATACTGTTTTTGTAAAGCACTGTAGTTTTATTGTTATAATGATACGACGCTAGCCTGATTCATTAGATGGTTTCACTTTGTAGAAACCGTTCTGATAGGTACTCTTTATCGTTTAACCAATCGCTGCTATTTGGTCGTGACGTATGTAATGCGCCGCTAACGGGACTAACTGGTATATTAAACTTTTCCCAAATCCCGTAGAAAGAAGGACAATAACGTCTTTCCCCTTGATAAAATTCACCAAACATTCTCTTTGTTCTGCCTTTAAATCCTTGATCTGGGTAATCGTTGGCTCTTTGCTGGTTGGCTGGTGCTCGCACTTCTGGAGTTTTTGTGAACCGTCTCGTGTATTCTGATTCCTGATCTAGGCGCTGGAGAGAAATGAAATTGAGCGGAGCCACTAGGAGACGCCAGCCTGACTAATACAATGCAACAATTTCACCAAAAACTACTAATGTGTATTTAGCCACATGATGTTCAATTAAGAAATAATGAAAATCTGATTTAAAAAAAAATAATAATAATAAATAAATAAATAAATAAATAAATAAATACATTTTTGGTTGTTATTTTCATTTCTATTATGATTTCACTTATGTTATATGTCCCATTGTATATGCATGTAAATCTTTATTTGCCCAAGATAAATGCATCAATGCAAAAATCTTGAGACAAACAACATAAAACATATCAAAATTATACAATTCATATCAAATATCATGTATAAGACCATATCATTTATCTCAGGTACTTTTTTTTGTTTTTACAGTGCATCCATAGCACCTCTCCATGTCACTATGTCACTATACAGGAGTATCTCTGTGTCCTTAATGGTGAGAGGTACTTCACTATAGTACCTCTGTGTTGTTAATGGTGAGAGGTACTTCACTATAGTACCTCTGTGTTGTTAATGGTGAGAGGTACTTCACTATAGTACCTCTGTGTTGTTAATGGTGAGAGTACTTAACGTACTTCACTATGTAGAGTACTCTTCTGTGGTGTTAATGGTGAGAGTACTTCACTATAGTACCTCTGTGTTGTTAAGGTGTACTTCACTATAGTACCTCTGTGTTGTTAATGGTGAGAGGTACTTCACTATAGTACCTCTGTGTTGTTAATGGTGAGAGGTACTTCACTATAGTACCTCTGTGTTGTTAATGGTGAGAGGTACTTCACTATAGTACTAGTCATATTTGGCCTGTAGCTCAGTGTTAATGAGTTAATCGCTTTCTCTCATTTGCTTCATTTGTGCTTAATCCTTTTCCACAAACCGGAGAGGAGAGTGTTTGTGCAGTGTTACATAAGGCCTCACACAGGGGCCTTTATGTGCCTGTCCCACACACGGGCCTGGAGCTCAGGGCTGGGGCTCAGGGCTGGGGCTCAGGGCTGGGGCTCAGGGCTGGGGCTCAGGGCTGGGGCTCAGGGCTGGGGCTCAGGGCTGGAGCTCAGGGCTGGGGCTCAGGGCTGGGGCTCAGGGCTGGGCTCAGGGCTGGGGCTCAGGGCTGGGGCTCAGGGCTGGGGCTCAGGGTTTAGCCTCATTTAGCGACACCTCTGCTCTGTGTGAAACCATGGCAACAACAGTTAGCACACAGGCTTAGAGCTTAGGTCACAGTGAATCAGACAGAGAATCAGAAGTGACGCACTTTAGTTTTAATACTTTCCACATGTTTGCAGCACACGGGGACCAAATCACTTTGTATCTGACTGTTTATTTTATGTTTTACATTATTACTTGCAGAGGTGGTAGAGCAGTCGAAAATTGTATTTAAGGAAGGGAAACGTTATTTAAGAAGAATATGAATCTAGGAAAATTACAAAGTAAAGAAAGTCCAAGAAATGACTGAAGTAAGAGTAACTGTCGGGATTTATTATTTGTTAATGTAACTGTAAGAAGAAAACATGAAATAAAGCACAAAATACTGTTTTCAAAAGGTGAGAAAACATTTTTTTTCATATCTGAAGGAGAACTGCAAGAAACACAAATGTTCAAATCATTTCACATTGTCACATAAAACTTTGTCACTTTAGACTCACAGTGGGAAGAGTAAGTACAACTTTTACTTAGTACTGTTACTTCAATAAAAGTATTACTCAGGTAGGAGTAAATGTAACTGAGTACTACCCACCTGTGATTACTTCATACTTACCTCATCATATAGAAAATGTAACATCTCAAATGAAGGAAGCAGAAGTACGATAAACAATCATACAGAAACTCCTGTATGACTCTGACACAAAAACCAGAGCACTAACCACTAAAACTAATCGAAACCTGCAGCATGAGCTGCAGAGTGAAACTCTTTACTACTTCAGTTTGTACCTGTAATGAGTACTAGATGTGTTTAGTTAAGTTATCTTAAATCTTATAATAGCCAAAAAAAAACAAATAAACCTTGTTGCAGCGTTGGTCTATGAAACGATGAGTGGATATGGTGATTTTGGTGTCAGGCCTGTTCGTTTCATGTGTGTGTGTGTTCAGGTGCTGGAGAGCTTCAAGATCATGGACTACAGTCTGCTCCTGGGCATCCACGTCCTGGAGAAACGTCCTCTGCGCAGAGGAACACGCCTGGACAGCCGCAAACAGAAGGTCCTCTACTCCACGGCTCTGGAGTCCATCCAGGGCAGCGTCAAAGACCCCGAACCTGTGGCCTGTGACGATGACACGTGAGTGATCTGTGTGTGCACACGAGGCACACAACACACCACTGAACCAGGACTGAACCAGGACTAAACCAGGACTGAACCAGGACTAAACCAAGACTAAACCAGGACTAAACCAGGACTAAACCAGGACTAAACCAGGACTAAACCAGGACTAAACCAGGTCTAAACCAGGACTAAACCAGGACTAAACAGGACTAAACCAGGACTAAACCAGGACTAAACCAGGACTAACCAGGACTAAACCAGGACTGAACCAGGACTAAACCAGGACTAAACCAGGACTAAACCAGGTCTAAACCAGGACTAAACCAGGACTAAACCAGGACAGGACTAAACCAGGACTAAACCTACTAGACCAGGACTAAACCAGGACTAAACCAGGACTAAACCAGGTCTAAACCAGGTCTAAACCAGGTCTAAACCAGGACTAAAACAGGACTGAACCAAGTACTAGACCAGGACTAAACCAGGACTAAACCAGGACTAAACCAAGTACTAAACCAGGACTAAACCAGGACTAAACCAGGACTAAACCAAGTACTAGACCAGGACTTTTTCAGCCCTGTCCACATTAGTGTTTATTCATTGTGGCTCTTTGCTTTTGTTCCAGTCTGGGAGGGATTCCTGCCAAACACAAAGATGAAAACCTGCTCATCTTTTTAGGGATCATCGACATCCTGCAGTCGTACAGGTGAGGGCACGTCACACACACTCACACACACACACACACACACACACTCACACACACACACACACACACACACACACACACACTCACACACACAAATGCAGGTGACATAGTCTAAACTTAATCCTATATTATGCAAACTGACTCTTGTGAGTTTTGAGCCATGTTAGACTGGACTGCTGTTCCCTCCTCAAAAACAGACTTTATGAGTTTACATCACCAAAGCTTCAAACGCTCTGGTTCACCTTTTGATGACATGAAGTGATAGTTTTGAAGTGAACAGCTCCTTTTACTTTTAGTTCACTAGAATCATTTGCAAAATTTCAGCCCTGGAAGTGACTATCTACACTTTTGCACCATTCACCATTTTCTTCCTGCTGCTAACCCTTGACGTGACTTGAGCTGCACTGTTCTGTACTCTAGTGTTTGCAGCGTCATTTATTTATCTGCGGTTACTCTAGTGCTCACAGATGATGTCCTTTATTGTGTCTGTGCACGTACACGTTGTCCTGTCTTCTACTTTAACGTTTGTCTTGTCTTGTCTACGTCCGGGACAGAGAGAAACGTCCTTTTCGATGTCTTTGTATGTCTGGTACATGTGAAGAAACTGACAGTAAAGTGAACTTTGAACTTTCAAGAGTTTAAAAACACAGTGGAGCACTTCTTGTATGGCAGGGTGGAACAGTGTTTTATGTTTGAGAGAAGAACTCCGCTTAAATATGCAGGATTTGTGTGTGAAACGTGTGAAAGAAGAAAAACAAAAACACTTCCGAACAGCCCCACAGTGGAGAGTTTTAAGTCTCGTCTCGTCTCGTCTAAGTCCCACTTTTACTCTGTGGCTTTTAACACCGCGTGAGTTGTGTGTCCTTGTGTCTTTTATTTATTTTTATGTTTTTTACCTTTTTATTATTTACTGGTGCCCTTGCTCTTATTTGATTTGACTAGTTTTATTGTCTTAATGAGGATTAGTGGAGTTAAGTAAAGCTTTATTTTATTTTATTCTTTTATTTGTATTGTGCAGCACTTTGGAAATTGTTTTGTTCATAAAACGTGCTATAGAAATAAAGTGGATTGGATTGAAAACAAAACAAAAAACCCCAAAAAAACAACTCCAGGTCTTTTTTGGATGAGGAAACTACATTTTAACATAAATCAGAATATATTCTAATATGGGCTGTAGTGTTCATGTAAGTGTTTCAAATGCAAACTGTGTCTCAGGTCTATTTCACACACCTTTTCTCTCTGCTTGTTTTTTTTCGCTTGATACTCAAATTATTCAGATTCATTTGGCAAAGTTCAGAGTTAAAAAAAACAAAAACATTTTTCCTCATTATCTGTCTCCAAAACCAAAATGAAAAAAAGGATAACGATTCATTTTTTCAGTTTCCAATTTTGTGTTTAAATGAAAAATGGAAAAAAAGGATAATGACCGTTTCCTTTTTCCTTGACTTAAACTGAACCAGGACTAAACCAGGACTAAACCAGGACTAAACCAGGACTAAACCAGGACTAAACCAGGACTAATCCAGGACTAACCAGCCAGGACTAAACCAGGACTAAACCAGGACTGAACCAGGACTAAACTAGGTTTAAACCAGGTCCAAACCAGCACTAAACCAGAACTAAACCAGGACTGAACCAGGACTAAACCAGAACTAAACCAGGTCTAAACCAGGGCTATTCTTGGACTTGAGAGAAAGGGAGAACCCTGAGTCTGTGGAGCAGGGTGTCCTCAAAGCTCGATCAGACGACGGCTGCGCTTTAGCCCCGTGGGGTGCGGAGCTCTGCGCCAGTCCTTTCACCTGCGGTCACCCAACAGTCTACGTGGGCGCACCTCCGGGCCCGTCCCAACACCCAGTCCTGGTTCAGTCCTGGTTCAGTTCTGGTTTAGTTCTGGTTCAGTCCTGGTTCAGTCCGTTGTCCGGTTTTTACATTCTTCATTTAAACACAAAATCAAAAACTGAAAAAGTGAATCGTTATCTGTTTTTCCATTTTGATTTTGGAGACAAATAATAAGGAAAATAGTTGTTTTTTCATTTTCTTATTTTTGGTTTTATTTTGAAAAATGAATGAACAAATGACACAGGGACTGACAGTATTGCACTTTTCAAATGTGACAGAAGTGTGTTTCTGTGTCTTCTCAGGTTGATTAAGAAGGTGGAACACTCCTGGAAGGCTCTGGTCCATGATGGGGTACGTGGACACTCATCATTCTGCTGTGTTTTAGTTTCCTCACATTTAAACGGTCGCTGTATCTTCCCTCTCTCACGTGTGACATGTGCTTTGCTCCAGGACACAGTGTCAGTGCACAGGCCCAGCTTCTACGCAGACAGGTTCCTTAAGTTCATGAGCTCCACGGTCTTCTGGAAGCTCCAGCGTGAGTCCTCCCCGTTACACCTGCACACTGCTCCCCCTGTCACTTCACTGACTCCTCCTTCCTGTTACACCTGTCACCTGTCACCTGTCACCTGTCGTCACCGAATCACCCTGTTACCCTTTCACCTGCCCCACTACTGACTTTGAACTGTCACCTTTTACCCTGTCACCCCGGGGACTCCCTCTCATTCCCTGTCACTCGGCTGACTCCTCCTTCCTGTCACCTGTTCACCTGTCACTCGGCTGACTCCTCCTCCCTGTCACTGTTCACCTGTCACTCGGCTGACTCCTCCTCCCTGTCACCTGTTCACCTGTCACTCGGCTGACTCCTCCTCCCTGTCACCTGTTCACCTGTCACTCGGCTGACTCCTCCTCCCTGTCACCTGTTCACCTGTCACTCGGCTGACTCCCTCCTGTCCTGTTCACCTGTCACTCTCCTGTCACCTGTCACCTGTCACTCCTCTCCTCCTGTCACCTGTTCACCTGTCACTCTGACTCCTCCTCTGTCCCTGCTCACCTGTCACTCCTGACCTCCTCCTGTCACTCGGCTGACTCCTCCTCCCTGTCACCTGCTCACCTGTCACTCGGCTGACTCCTCCTCCCTGTCACCTGTTCACCTGTCACTCGGCTGACTCCTCCTCCCTGTCACCTGTTCACCTGTCACTCGGCTGACTCCTCCTCCCTGTCACCTGTTCACCTGTCACTCACTGTCCTGTCTGACTCCTCCCTGTCACCCTGTCTGACTCCTCCTCCTGTCACCTGTCCTGTCACTGTCACTGTTCACTCCTCCCTGTCACCTGTCACCTGTCACTCGGCTGACTCCTCCTCCCTGTCACCTGTCACTCACTCTCCTCCCTGTCACCTGTTCACCTGTCACTCGGTTGACTCGTCCCTGTCCCTCGTGCAGCTCTGAAAGGCGCCTCGTCCAAGAGGAAGCGCAGTTCTCTTCAGGCCAAGTCTGCGTCTCAGGAGGTTCTGTCCACACACACAGAGGAGAGGAAGAGGAGCGACAGGAGGGAGAAGAAGGCCCAGAGTCTGGAGCAGCTCGACTCCGACTGTGAGCTCCACACACACACCAAACACTCACTGCACTCACACTTCTTATTATTACACTATTTTACATTCACCAGGTCTGTGTCCCATTTGGTCTTTTGAAGTTCAATTACTGTATTTTCCGCACTATTAGGCGCTCTGGATTAGAGGTCTGAGCGGGACAGAATTTTGAGTCCCGCTCCCGCCCGCTCCCGCAAAGAATTGTCATTTTCAGTCCCGCTCCCGCCCGCATCTGCAATATTTTGTCCCGCGCCTGCCCACAAGTACCGCAGGATGGGAACCTTTGCTTTCTTAAACTCTATCAAACACGGAGAAGCGAAAGAAATCGGGCTGCGTATGAGAGGAGGCGCGGCGGGCGATCCGGCGGCATGGTTAAGTGCTGGCTAAATCCTGTTTTAGTCTTGGTTTTAGAGCTGTTTTTAGACCCGGTTTAGTCCTGGTTTAGTTCTGGTTGAATTCTGGTTTTGTTGCACAGACAGCAAGACGCACGGAAGGAGGGACTGTTCGCGCGGCGTACAGGAAGGGGTCTGCTGCTTAAAATGTTTTTATTAATGCCAAATAAAATCTCTAGCACAAATGATGCATGATATTCTTACATTCATCTTTTTTATATTTTACTTTGTACTCATATTTAGTTTGCGGGACTGCAGTTTATCATCCCTCCCGCCCGCTCCCGCGTTGTTTAGCCCCACTCCCTCCCGCAGCGAGCTTTCAAAAGGCGTCCTGCGTTGCAGTGGTTTGCGTCGGGACCCGCGGGACTGCAGGGCTCTACTCTGGATTATGCGGCGCACTGTTATTAAATTGTGTATTTTTGAACTTTTTTCACAAATAAACCGCACTGGACTTTAAATGAAACCCAACAGTGTGATGGGTGAGTGGTTTTGTTTGTTTGTTCGTTCACGGTGACTCTGGGCTTTGTTCAGTTGTGGCGTGTAGGGAGGGTGTTGTCTGTCGCTGGATTGTCGGCGTGTTCGCAGTGACTCAGTTGTTCAGTTGTGTCTAGAAGTGGCACATTGCGCTCGCTTTTTCGGTTCGTTCCTCCGTTCCTCGTCGGCGTGGAGTGATGAGTGTGTCTGTGGGTGTGTTTCTCTGTGCGGTCGCTGTCTACTCTGTGTGTGTTTGTGTGTTCTGCGGGTGGTGCGTCTTTGTAGTTTACTGAAGTCGTGCTGGGACACCCGAGAGGTGTGTGTAGGGTGCTCTGGATTGTGGGGTGCACCTGAACCGCATCAAATTTTTTGATGGGGTTGGAGGCTTAAGAGTGCAGCCTATAGTACAGAAAATACGGTCAGAACGGAGAAAAAAACAAAACAAAAAAACAACTATAAAATGGGAAAACAGTTTGTTATTTCATTATTCTGTTTTAGTGTCAAACAAACAAACAAAACAGATTTCAGCCTCTATTTTCAGTATTTAATTTAAAGTGTATTTCAATTAACACCAACCAAAAAACAGTCTTGATGCCTATTTTAATTGTGATTATTTTATTCTCTCTGGTTTATTTTTTGCCTCAGAAGTTCTGCTGCTGAATTGGTGCAGTTTTGTGGACAAACTTGTCTCTTCTTTTACAGCGACACATTTACTGTCTTACATCTTAGAAAGTCATTGTTGAACTCCATGACGAGAAACAGGAAGCAGAGATAAACTCTCCTTTGTTCAGTGACTCTGAATTCACCTACAGCACTGAGCATCAGAACTTCATATAAACCAGAGAGAATAAAATATCAAAAGTAAAATAGGCACTGAGACTGTTTTTGAATAGTGTTATTTGAAATAAACTTTAAATGAAATATTGGAAATAGAGGTCAAAATCTTTTTTTTTGTTAGACACTAAAACAGAAAAGTGAAATAACAAACTGTTTTCCAATTTTATTGTTATTTTTTTATTTTATTTTTTTCATTCTTAATTGAAATTCAAAAGAACAAATGGTACTGTTATGTCCCCTATAACCAACAAGGGACACAACGTGTATAAAACAACCCTTGAGGCAAAGTCGGTTTGGCAAACTTTTTATTTGACAGCCAAACATTCATTAAAGTGCACAAAAAATGAACAAAAGGTTGGTGGGAGGAGGCGTGGGCCAGTTGTGCCAAATCAACAAACAAAAGGTATAACAAAACAGGCCCTAACTGAAAACTAGGCTACAAAAAGGAAAGAAATCAAAAGCCTAACCTACCTGGTCTAACAAAGAGAATTTGGAAAACTCAAAACAACAAGGGGGGCAACAACTGATAACTAGTGTGTCTAACAACAAAAATCTACGTGATGAAGTGTACAGGGATCCCCAAACTTACCTAACCAATCCTCCCAACCAAACAACCTGGGCTAGCAGCCGCATACACAGAGAGAGAGAGAAAGAGGCAGCACACAGCTCCTTTTAAACAGCCCTCTCCACCCTGATTGGCCGCCAGCTGACCAATCAGCTCCAGTTTTGGTCCCACCCACAGCACCTGAACACACAGGGCAGTGGAGAGAGCAAGAACACAAACCAAACAAATGCCTGCATGTAACAGTACACAGACGTCAGTGTTGTCCTAACTATTTACACTCCATTACTTTGATAACATTTACATTATGACTAGATGAGAAAGAAAACAAACAAAAACTCACCAGAACAACTCTGATTAGAATAAAAGTTGATGTTGTTTACACTCTTAGATGGATACTTTCATACTTGTGGTTTTGTGTTTCCTGTATGTACTTGTACTTTGTGTGTACAGTGTCCGTGTCCGTCCAGCAGCCCGACCTGGTGCCCAGGTCCAGTGTGTCCTTCCTGTCCACTGACCAGCGTGACGACAGGTGAGGCCCTGCAACTGCTCCTACTTCCACCACAATAATATTAAGACTTTATACCAGGGGTGTCCAAACTTTTTTCATCAAGGGCCACATATCTAAACGCAGACAAAGCAGAGGGCCGATCGAGGGCCGTAGACTGATGCTCAGTACAGGGAATAATTAAAATATGTGCATGTTTAACACGTTAGAATGAACCATCAGGTTTTATTCATGCTAAGATCCTCAAAACCACACACTAAATATTCAATATGAGCTTTATCAAGGTAGATTTTCAAAAAACTTGCAGTAAAAAAATGTTTTAATTGATGCGAGGAAATTTGGGCCAATTCATCTGGAAGTCTGAGGGCCACAACAATTTGTCTGAGGGCCGCATTTGGCCCTCGGGCCATAGTTTGGACATGCCTGGTTTATACCAATGAGCCTAATAATAATAATAATATTAATAATAATAATAATAATAATCTCCTCCAATGAAAAACTCCAAAATACCAGCTTCTACTGTATGTTGTACTTTTGATGTACTTTTGATGTACTTTTGATGTACTTTTGATGTGTATAATCATGTGTACATTTGACCTGATGCTTTGGTTCTTGTTAACATTCTGGCTGTTGTTTCACGTCTGCTGCTCGTCTTCAACCAGGAAGTCAAATGATAAAAAACAACAACAAAAAGGATTTAAAATGTTTTCGTGAAACAGAATGTAATCATGTTGAGTGTGTCGTGTGTGTGTCCTTGTGCTCCGGTCGTGTGCAGTGAAGTGCGCCGGGCCTCCAGCTCCACCATCGCCCTGGACGCTCCTCTGGCCTGTCTGGGCAGCAGCCAATCAGACGACGACCTGGACGTGTACCTGGTGAGAAGCAGCCAATCAGACGCCGGTGATCTTACATTCTAACAGCACACACACCATCACTTTTACTCCAGTAACAAGCAAATGAATCACACGCAGCAAAGAGTGAAGTGTTCAAACTGACTCTCACTGAATCAATTCTTACTTTTTCTCTGTGTTTATCTGAGTCCAATCTGTTCTAGAGTTCATTTCACATTTTTGGAAATGTTCATTAAGTAACACTGGACCAAAGTTCCTGTTTAACCTGAAATCAAGAGTTAGATTCATGTTTTGAGACATTTTGTAGAATAACCCTCTGATTTAGCTAAACAACACACCAAGGGGCTTTTACTCTTTATTTTAGTTAATTTAACATTTTGGGGAGAAGTTACACACACACACACACACACACACACACGCACACATAAACACACACACACACACACATACACACACACACATACACATACAGACACACACACACACACACACACACACACACACACACACACACACACACACACATACACATACAGACACACACACACACACACACACACACACTGTGTTCAAATAACTGAGAACTAACCGTGTCCAGACACACACAGATATGGGGAGAGGACAGAGATTCACTCATCTGGTTTATTCATGGCCGATGTCGATACCTGTTGTTTATCATTCAACAACCGATATCTGCACCAATGGCCGATAAACTCTGACGATATTTTTGGGCTAATATGCAAGACCGATTTGGATTATTTTCCCCAACTTTAAAAAAAGTAAATGACGACAAACTCCCCTCAAGCTTTTTTTTTTTTTTTGAACAAAACAAACCTAAAAGAGACGTGTAGTCCTGTTTTATGCAGCTGTCTGCTCATATTAAAGAGTGAATATAAAGCTCTGTGTGGAGATTTTTGACAAATATGGGCCTGATCGTTGGTTGATTTATCAGTTGGCCAATTGATATATCGGTCTACCGATATTATCAATTTATCTCTAGTAGAGTAGCCAAAAATGTTACTCAAGTACAATTAAAATGACTTCAAAGTAGAAGTACAGTGAAGCAGTAGAAGTAGAAGTAGTGGTCCAGAGGTTCAGAGGCAGACACAGTGATGGACACAGAGGCTCCAGAAATAAAAGAAGTTACAATAAATAAAAAATAATTAAACTGTGTGTGTGTGTGTGTTCTGCAGTTGTCCTGCTCGTGCTTCACTCTGAGCTGTCACCATGTTGAACTTTTTCTAGTTTAAACTTCATCAAAGTGACTTCACTTTGTCACGATGACTTTTTTTTAGTTCTTATGATGATTTTATGACCTGAATAATTCCAATGATTGATTAACAGAATAATCTTAACATCCCTAAATTTAAAAATGATTTGCATTTCTGTCAAGGCCTGTATAAGTTCAGAAGTACTTCCACACACACACATGGTGCAGTATTTCTGACCTGCAGCTGGTGCTTCTCACGAAAACATTTTGATTACAAATGAAATGGACAAAATGTTTCCCATTGTTACACTTCTGATCAAATGTGTTTAAATATTCACCTGCACATGGAGCTTATGTAGATGTAGATCTTAAAATGATGAACTCCTAAAGAGGATGATGTGTGTTCTGTTTCACTGCAGTGTTTGTGCTCAGGGAATCGTCACATTTAGAATCTCATTGATTCTCCTCAAGTGTGTGCTCGGCTCTTTGTGTCGCACGAGGAGGAGGAGGGACTTACAAGTCATGACTTGGACTCAAGTCAGACTTGAGTCTTGATCTTTAGAACTTGAGACTTGACTTGATAAAACGGACTAAGACTTGATACTTGACTTGGACGTGAAGCTCAATGACTTGAGAGACTTGATGCTTCTCTTAAATATTTTTCTCTTTACAGTTGATAAATGTGGTGCTGAATTTTACAGGAACAAACTGGAACATGTCCTTCCTACTTCTCTATTTGTTACTTTGGATATAACTGAAGTACTGTGATACTCAAATGTACTACAGTAATATACAGTACAATACAGTAATATACAGTACAATACAGTAATATACAGTACAATACAGTAATATACAGTACAATGCAGTAATATACAGTACAATACAGTAATATACAGTACAATGCAGTAATATACAGTACAATGCAGTAATATACAGTACAATACAGTAATATACAGTACAATACAGTAATATACAGTACAATACAGTAATATACAGTACAATGCAGTAATATACAGTACAATACAGTAATATACAGTACAATACAGTAATATACAGTACAATACAGTAATATACAGTACAATACAGTAATATACAGTACAATACAGTAATATACAGTACAATACAGTAATATACAGTACAATACAGTAAACAGAGGGCACTACATAGAACATGATCCTTGAATTTCAGTGCAGACTACATGATAAAAATAACAGTTATTAAACTCTTTTCAGTCTGAATTCTTTCGATTCTGATCAGAATGATTCACACTCAGATCTTAAGACATTTTAAAAGGAAAAAATTGCATTTCTATAACTCTTATATAAATATGATATAAATACTCATATATAAATACATTTTAAGTACAGTTTAGCTTTTGCAAAAATCTAAAGTCTTGAAATGACTTGAAGCACAAAGCAGACGACTTGGACTTGACTTGGTCTTATGGACCAGTGACTCAACACTTGACTTGGACTTGCCTGAATTTGATGTGGGACTTGACTTGGACTTGAGGTTTACTTGAGACTTGCAAAACAATGACTTGATCTCACCTCTGTGGCACGTTTAAAAACAGTTGAACAGATCTGGAGGAGCTGCAAGAAACACAAATGTTCAAATCATTTTAGATTTTCCACAAAAAGCTTCTGTCCCACTGTCACTCACAGAGGAAAGAGGAAGCACAACTTTTACTCAAGTAACAGTACTGTTACACCGTACAAGTAGGAGTAAAATGTAATGCAAAGGTTACTCAAGTAAATGTACTTGTAAGTGAGTACTACTCACCTGTGTGTACATGTTTGAAAATGAAATGTTTAAAAAGGAGGAGGACCAAACTTGTTGTGTGAATGTTTTTCAGTGATGACCGTCGTGTGACCCTCAGACCCCCACACCCTCCTCAACACTACAGACAGGGAGCCCCCGCGCTGCTGTGGCCCCCGGCCCCCCGGCCCCCCTGCCCCCGCCCCCTGCCCCCCCTGCCCCTGCCCCCCGCCCCCCTGCCCCCCCCCTGCCCCCCTGCCCCTGTCCTCCCTGCCCCCCGGCCCCTGTCCTCCCTGCTGTGTGGAATCCCCTCTGAGTGGCTGGTTCACTGGAGACAAGACGACATAGAAAAAGCCATAATATATTTATTTGTGCCGCAGTGTTTGAATGAGGTGATGTGTGCGACTCTTTCACACACTTTAGCAACTTTAGTCATTTGAAACTGGAACTTCAATCCAGAATGTGAATTTTTATGTTTTTTTCAAACCAGGATCATTAGATTAGAATAGGGCAGGAAAATTGCCTGTAAAAAAAAATCCTAAATTATTGGAACTGTATGTAACCTGTACTCTTACTGTTTAAAAATAAATAAATAAATAAATAGATAAATAAATAATAAATGAATAAAAAAATACAAATTTAAAAAAAAATAAATAAATATATAAATAAATATAGGTACTATACAGTCACAAGTGTGTGTTGTCAGTGCTTTAGGCTGCAGAGAGATGACACACACACACACACACACACACACACACACACACACACACACACACACACACACACACACACACACACACACACACACACAAGTGCAGCGTACTCAGTCCTTTTAGGTTTAAACACACTGGATTTCAGCGTTGAACCTGTTAACCCAAATGAGAGCGTCATGTGAGGCTCATTCTGCTTTCTGATTGATCATTTTGAAAACCAAAACACCAAATCTGAATGTTTTTGTGATTTGTGTGAATAGTTCAGTCAGTAAAATCAATATCTGAACATGTTCCTCTCAAATCTGGGGACACAGATAAATCAGGTTTATGAAATTTCAAATCAAAATCTTCCAGGCATTTCCTTTCCGACTCATACGGAGACAGATATCTGGGCTTGTACTTCGATCACAGTGCACGTGAGAGGGAGTTAGTGACAGAATAAGAAGTGCAGTATCATGTAGCCCACATTTTCTCTGAAGCCAAATGTAAAAAAAAAAAATGTTAAAAAAAAAAAAAAAGTGTAAAAATGTAAAAAAAAAAAAAAAAAAAAAAAGTGTAAAAGTGTGAAAATCAGTCTAATTTATTCAACTGTTCTGTCTGTTATTATGGATTGTTATATTTTGTCTCTTTTTCTTTCTAATACTGTGTGAAATCTCTTAAAATTCTTGCGTGTCAGATCAGAATAAATGTTTCTTTCTGTACTTGTCCTCTGTGTGTACGTGCTGAAGAAATGCCACTGTGGATCAATGATGTTTATGAACTGTCAAATAATAAAAACACAGAGGCTCTGTGGACTTCACTCATGTTTCTTTTTGGAAATATTTCATCTGTTTGGGCACAGTTTTCAGTCTTGGAGTAGATTTGGTCTAGACCTGTTATAGTCCTGGTTTAGTCCTGGTGTAGCCCTGGTTTAGTCCTGTTCTAATACTGGTTTAGTCCTGGTTTGGTCCTTGTTTAGTCCTAATTTAGACCTGTTCTAGTTCTGGTTTAGTCCTGGTTTAGTTCTGGTTTAGTCCTGGTTTGGTCCTTGTTTAGTCCTGATTTAGACCTGTTCTAGTTCTGGTTTAGTCCTGTTTGTCCCCTGAGGAAAGCCATAGGCTGAAACGCGTTGGGACTTTTTATTTGTCCATTAAGACATGCCGTAAACTAATAAAGGCATTTTATTTTGAACCAGTGAGTGCCTTGGTTTTTTTGCAACTCAGTCCTAGTGTAGTTATGGTTTAGTCCTGGTTTAGTCCTGGTTTAGTTCTGGTTTAGTCCTGGTTTAGTCCTGGTTTAGTTCTGGTTTAGTCCTGGTTTAGTCCTGGTTTAGTTCTGGTTTAGTCCTGGTTTAGTTCTGGTTTAATTCCATTGCTCATTGAAACACATTGACACTAACTTCCTGTTCAAATCTGGAGACTGAAGCTTCTAAACCCAGAGCAGATGTACAGATGAAGAACATTTGGCTGTGATAATGACACTGGGATTCAAACACTCTGTGTGTGTGTGTTTTAAGTCTGCATAGTCCAGATTACATTTACAAATACAACTACGATTATTTTTTAGTGAAGTAGTCACTAGATTAGTTCATTGGCGCCCAAGTTTCCGGTTTAGTCCCAGTTTTGATGCGGTGATCGTTCACTGGGACAAAACATTCCCAGTGACTTTAGTAGAACTTCTTTTAAGGACACGTCCAGCAACATAACCAGTCTACAGAAAATAGAGCACACTCTACATTTGTTAAGTTACTGTTTTCTCCTAAAGTGAAGGAAACTCATTTTAAAAGAATAAACAATATCTTGGAAAAAAAAAAAAAACTTAAATTTGAGGTTGAATCTTGTAACTTTTGTAATTCAGAACAAGAATCTTTGGATCATTTGTTGTTGTTTCTCACTCTTAAATCTGATCAGACGTCAGAAGCTGGAGCTAAATCCAAAAATGAAAATCCCTGTATTCAAGACTTCTTCTCACATTTTATTTTATATGGACAATTTGGATTCTTCAACAGAAATGGTTGTAAATATTGTCTTGTTTTTGGTGAAGAGGGAATAAACCAGGAGTCTCCAACCTGTAGCTCTCCACTTTCTTCCAAGCAGATCACCCAGGGCTTTTGTGAATGACACACTGTAACTGTGCTGAATAAGTCCAGTTTGATTCATTAAAAGCCTTTTAACTTTGTACATGTGTCATTTTGACGCCTGACGTTGTGCGCTGATAAATGGACAATAGTTTCTGTTTTACAGGCGTCTAACTGCTCCTCATCTAAGGTTGTGGCTCTTACATAAGCTCAGTGTTTTGTGATCGCTAAAACTAGTATTTCTCTGGCATTTTCACTGGTTGGAGACACCTGGAATAAACCCTCAATTTGTTGTTTTATGACCTTGATCACATTGGAAAATTGAAAAACAGTTAAAGCCGCCTCCAACTTGACTGTAGAATTCCTGTTGTTTTGCTCTAGATGTAAATATAATCTATTTAATTTGGATTTATTTTGTACTTGTCCTCTTCAAGTGATTGTAATTTTATGTTTAAAAAAAAAAAAAAAGTCCCCTCTGCAAGCGCTGTGATTCCAACAGTGACCGCTAGATGCCGCTCAAACTCTGCCTTTGCGCACGGATCATCAGAGGAGGAAGAGGCACCACGTCTGTGTCACGCAGAGTTGACCTTGTGAATTTTATGACATGTTTGAGTTACTCTTTATTATCAGTCTGTCTATATCTCTAAAACACTCTGTTCCACCTTGTGATGTCATTTGTTTTATTTCAATGGAATTTTAGTATTTTAGAATTTTTTTGTATTCAAGTACACAACAGACAGATGCACACACAACAACAACAAATCACACACACACACAGAGAGTTGTTGAAACAGTAATTAACTGCTCACTTTAACCTTCATTTAGTTTGAATTAATCCAAAACCACTGATTTGTCCCGGTTTTATCCAAGAAATGTCCCAGGTGTCTCTATTTTTGGACTATTTTTGATCCCTGCCAACAGTAAAGAGACACATACATTGTCATTTGTTTACGTAAAATACAGAAAAGCTGCTTCAAAATCTCTAAAACACAAAGAAAATGTGACAACACTGACTCATGTTGGTCATGAATGGTCTCTGCAGAATCATTTTCCTTCATTACACAATCGTTTCACAATTTTATTATTACAAACTACCATAAAACCGGGGATGTCCCAGTGTTTACTTTTAAATTCTGGTCAACCTATTCTAGTGATGTATGGATTTTAAAAACACAGTGGATCACTTCCTGTACCAGGTGACATCACAAGGTGGAACAGAGGATTTTGTTGTGCTGGTGTTGAATTGTGGAGGTTCTGAGCTTCCACATGAGACACGGTCTGTCCATAAAGTGACTGAGACAAACCTGCAGGTGAAGACTCTGGGACACAGACAGTGTTGGGGAGTAACAGATTACATGTACCACAGTTACATAATCAGAGTACACATTATGAGTAACTGTATTCAGTTACAGTTATTGTTTCAGTGAGTGGTAGTTGGATTACAGTTACTTTGTTGAAATAAATGGATTACATGGTGGTATTTTCCTGTTTTCACATTTTGGGCTATTCCCTTTTTTTTTTTTTCGGTAATTCCATTCATTGCCAGACACTAAACCAGGTCTAAAACCAGGTCTAAATCAGGTCTAAATCAGGTCTAACCCAGGACTAAACCAGGTCTAAACTAGGTCTAAACCAGGACTAAAGCAGGATTAAAACCAGGACTAAAACCAGGTCCAAACCAGGTCTAAAACCAGGTCTAAACCAGGATTTAACAGGACTAAATCCTGCTGCGTGGACGTGTCTCCTCGTCTTCTATCAATAATATTTTTAATTTGGTTAAGGAAAGACTTGGCCTTTTTATTTTCTTTTAGCAAACAAAATATCTTATGTGAAGATTTCTTCATCTTTGCTTCTCTACAGCAAATCAAGTAATCCAAAGTATTCAGATTACATTACTCACTTTAAGTAATTTAATGGATTACGTTACAAACTACATTCTGGGGTATGTAATCTGTAATCTGTAGGGGATTACATTTTAAAAGTTACCTTCCCAACACTGGGGACACAGACAGAACCTGAATGTTTCAATTTAATCCTGGTTTAGTCCAAGTTTAGTCCTGTTCTAGTCTTGGTTTAGTGTGTTGTGGTGCTGAAACATTCAGGTTCTGTCTGTATGATTCATTTGTACCACCGTAAACAACAACAACAACAGTTCTACATTTTTCATTCTGATCATTGTGGTTTATTTTGTACGATCATAAACAATAAACTTTTGTGCCTTCGTTAACATTACAACAGTTGGAGTGGTGAGTATATTACGGAACAATCTGAGTGATGAAAAAAAAAACAAAGAAAAAAAAAAGTCCTGCTCTAGTCCTGTTCAAGTCCTGGTTTAGTCCTGTTCTAGTCCTGGTTTAGTCCTGGTTTAGTCCTGTTCTAGTACTGGTTTAGACCTAGTTTAGTC